GGAATGTCTGTTTGGAAAATGTTGGCCTCAATCAAACATCAAAGCTGTTTTTTGAATGCATAACGTGCACAAACATTTGGAGTGGTTACACAGGACTGTAAAACAAAGCTTAAAAGTTGGGTTTGTGCGCAGAACTAACCACTTTGGAGAACCTCTGAAACACAACCAAAATTGTGGCTTAGATCTGTACAACTTAAAATATTTATATGAATTCTGGAGTATTTTGATATAAATGCATGATAAAATATTTTTTCTGCAGAACAACACATTGATGCTCCAATAAAAGTGTAGGATGTAATTCTCCACCTGCTGCTCCTGTTGCATATCTTCTCTTTGTATTTTGTTGTGTTCCCGATTCTCCTAAGCCTGCGACAAAAATATTTCAGTGGAACATTTACAGATTTCGAGATCCATCAAAGTGATGTGGTTATTGCTTCTGTGAGCAGGATTACCTTAATATAATATAAAGAATATACATTTTCAATGAACAAGCCAGTTTGAACACATTTGTATTCAGACATTTAATTTTTTTTCTACAATTTCTTGTGTATTATCAAAAATTTTGCAAGAAATTTAGACCTGGACATCAAATTTATATTTTATAAAAAATAGTTGTTGCTGTATCTTCAATTTAATCTTTCAAAATAAAAAGATTTATAGTAAAATGCCATATATGGCCATAATGATTTTATATTAACTGGTTTATTCATCTCCAACTATATTAGTCAGACATTCATAAAGTTTCCAACTTTGAAAACTGATACATGCAGGAATCCTTTCCTCTGTCTCTTTCATTAGCAAATTACTTAAGAGAACACCAAGCCTATAGCCAGATGAAACTGATAAGAGTCATAATTGAATTTTGGATGAGTCATCAATCAGCAGTTCTGTTTGCATAATCTGTGAATAGAAATCCAGTGAGACATCACGTTTGCTCGTTATGTAAGCACTCTGTCCTCTAAATTCTCTCTGCATTTCATTTAATCTGAACCCACAAACACAGATAAAGCTCTAGCTCTGGTTTATATGTGGCTGATGTTTAGTCATCGTTCCTGTAGACCTGTGGGTGTCAAACTAAAAGCTACTAGAGCTGCACCTGGAACGTGACAGAAGTTTCTCCCCATGGCATTTAGAGGGAGGATGTGGAGTTACACAGTAGGCTGAAGTACAGAGTGCTATGTGTTTACCCTGGTCTTACCTTTCTTAGCTTATAAGAGAAGCAAGGACCGTGAACTCTTCTGACCCTGTGTCACAGGTGTTGTGTTTCACTGTGTGATTTCATTATTAATGCTTGCAGCGTATTGGGAACAGAGAAAGTATGTTGAGGGGGGGTCAGTAGAAGCCAGCTGTGCCATCTTGGCACAACTTCCGAGTCAATCTAAGTGCAAATGACTGCTGGTCATAAGGAATGCCTCTGAATGGCCATTTTCCATAGATGCCCTCTTTTTGTGTTGAGCTTTCTGCCTATCTGTGCTAGCTCTCTGCCCTCGCTCGTCTCTCTTTGGCAGTCTCTTGGGATATTAAGGAATAGACTTGTTTACTCCACCTTTCACCACATTGGCTGCTGAATTATTCATCTAACTATAAGCAGGGTGCTGAAGGAAAGGGCGGGGAGGAAAAGTCGGGGGGAGGAGGTTGGAGGGGTGTGCAGAGGGAGAATGAGTGAATGGACAGGATTTATACCTCCTGCCCCTCGTAAATTGATTATAGAAATCTGATCAGCATCTCATATCCTGTGGATGGGAGAGGAGAGGGCACAGTTGCCTGCCTTGCAGAGATTAGCGGGCTGCCATGGACTGTTTTGCCACAGCAGGGCAGCCCTATTCACAGGAAAAAGTACATAAATGTGGCAAAGATCTTGAGAAAAGACAGGGGGGCATGTTCTGTGAGATTGGCACTGCTGAATCACACCTGCAAAATATATTTGTGCACAAGAAAAACCGTAAAACTTGTATCTCAACTTTTGACTGCTCTAGAAGCGACTTCGAAAAATAAATAGAAACACGGAGAAGAAAAGATGTACAGCATGTCTAGCTTATTACTAAACAATTTCTCATTCTTCAATATAAAAGACTAATAAAACTGTGCCACTAAATTAAATGTGAGCCAGTAGCTAGATGTGTATGTATGCGCACCCTGCATTTGCTGCCACTTCAAGGCTATGGCTGAAAGCCAGATTCAAACAGATGAGAATAAATAATGCTCAGCCAATAGCAGCTGTGGCCAAGGTGTAAAAGTGCATTGCATGCTAACACTGCAACCAGACATGGCAGGTTTATAGATCAGCTGCCAGTCCCGAATAGCGTGAACACAGGCTTCTTAGAGTTTATGAGTGTGCATAAATACACGCAAATGTGTATGTGGATTTGTGTGCATAAGTGATTGTGTGCAAACAGATGTGCTGCCACTTCCTCACCAGGGTCAAAGACTTCTGACTGGTCTTATTTTTCAGCTCAAAGGACTCAGGCAGAATAAATTTGTGCTATTCATTTATAGCCACGTGTATGTCACATGTATTTTATTTGCATTTTGTTTGAATTTGGAAAAAATAGAAAAAAAAGCTTGAAGTTTGCATGCATACTGTGATTTGTATTCCTAATCTTACCTTTTTAACTTTTTAAAAAATTGTCAACATTAACTGGTTTAAACACATATAGTTTTGATTAAAACAAGAAACAAAAACACCACATCGTTTTTTTTATAATTTCGAAGTAAAAAGAACAAAGTTATTTTATTTTTCTGTAAATAAAATTGAAAGTTCGAGTGCATCACAAACAAAGTCCAGTAGAGGTTCTTTTTTATATATACAGTAAAGAATGCTATCGTGCTGTTTTTTATTTGGAAAACAGTCCTGCCAACAAATCCACTTACCTGAGCTTTTAATCACTGCAGCTCCTCTAATTTTACAAGCTCAAAATTTTTACTCCTCGGATAAAAGTTTTACTGGTTTAGACTGTCTGTCTGTGGTATTTTGCTTATTAATGTTCCCTGACAAACCTTTAGGGGCATCACAGAACAGCTGGATTTGTGCTGAGGTTAAATCATAACCATGAAGAATTTGTATTCTA